ACTGAGCCCTATGGGGGGCAGACCCTAGCCCCATCCTAAGACCTTTGCTGGAGGTGGTGTGGAAGTGGCTGTCCCAGTGCCCTGCCCCTCCCTGCAGAGCGCTCTGCTGCAATACCTTCTCTTCTCTGTTCACCACAGCGTCCCTTGCCCTAGTGCCCTGACCAGGCCAGCTGCCTCCCCCCCACTCGCCCTTCTCTGCTACTGCTTCTGTAGGTGCAGCCCCCGCATCAGCCCTTTGCCAGCAGGATCCAGGGCTGCAGAGACAAATGTTCCTTCACCACAGCACAGCACAGCACAGGAGAGCAGCCCTAGTTTTGCACGGCCAAGGTGCCCCTTGGAGGGCTGGCTCTGTTCCAGGTTTGCCCTCCCCCACCACCTCATAGTCCTTAGTGCTCAGCCCAGCTCCTCCACCTGCCATTTGTCAAAGCCACTCAGCCCCTTCCAGGGCAGCAGGGAGGCCACCCAGGGTCATAGAAGTCATAGAAATTAAGGGCTGGAACAGACCTTGAAAGATCATCGAGTCCAACCCCTCTGCTCTGGGCAGGAATACGGCTGAGCTCAAATGATCCCAGCAAGGTGCTGGTCCAGTCTCCTTTTGAGGACTTCCAAGGCTGGGGACTGCACCACCTCCTTGGGAAGTTTATTCTAATTGTGGTCACCCTTACTGTAAAGATGTTCTTCTCTACATCCAACCTGAAATCATCCTTTAACACAGGGATGGGCAAAATGCGGCCCGTGGGCCAGACGTGGCCTGCCAGGCCATTCTATCCAGCCCACGGGGCCCCTAAAAAGTTTAGAAAATTAATATTTAGCTGCCCCTGGCTGCCTGTCATGCGGTCCCCAATGGCTTGTCAACACTCAGTAAGCAGCCCTCCGCTTGAATTAATTGCCCGCTCCTGCAACACTTTATGGCCATTGCTCTTTGTCTTCCCCTGGAACGCCCTAGTGAACAGTTTCTCTCCCAGCTCCTGATATTCACCACTTACATATTTATAGAAGGTGGTGGGCCTGTGTGCTGCTGGCCGAGATCCAAGGTTGCTCCTCACTTTTGTCAATGCCAGTTTTCTCCTCTTGGGAGAGGGCAGGTGCAGGTGGCTGAGGAGGCAGAGTGTGGTAGCTCTGGTGGCTGTGGGCCCCATTCTGCCCAAACTGGGCAGTGCCTGGGACCTCTATGGTGCCTGCAGGGCTCCAGACTCCACTGCAGCTGCTCTGTTGAGACCCTCAGCTCCCCATTCCCTGGTGGTGACTGGCTTGGGGGAGCCGTGAGCACTTGGGGATGGTGTCAGTGCCCCTGCCCAGCTCCACTCCTCCCAGGTCAGCCACAATCCCATGGGGATGAGCCCACCCCACCTTCCCCTATTCCCATTACTTTTCCAGGTAGTGGTTCTGCTCAGAGTGGGTTGGGAGGGAACCAGCCTGCCAAATGCTCCTGGAGACAGGGCCTAGGGCTGCTCCCTTGCTGCACCCTTGGCCTGGGCCTGCACCCAGCTGAGGCTGGTGCCCCTGTGAGGGGCCAGTGCCAGCAACCGACAGACCCCAGAGCTGTTCCTCAGGCTGCTCCCTCCTATGACCATCACTCTGCGAGCCAGGACCAGGCTGCTCACTTGAGGGAGGCAGCGGCTGCTGCCCACCACCAGACTGCTTCACTCAGAGCGTCCTCGGCCTGGCACAGACTGCTGTGGGGCACACTGCTTCCCTACCTGAGCAGGCTGCATTGCCCCCTTGGAGGGGGCCAGGGCTGGGCCGGTCTGTGTGCCCCGTGTCTTGGTGCTGTCCCCACCTTGTCTGTGTCATGCCAGCTCCCAAGGTGCTGTTGCTGCGGGACCCCCTCTGCCTGCCGGGCTCTGTTGTACATATTGTAAAAAGGAATCGTTTGAAAGCTGTTGTTTTGGGTTTTGTTTTCTTTCCCCGTGGGGGTGGGAGCAGGGGTGGGCCCTGCCCCCTGCCTTCCCCCTGCCTTCCCCCTCCCCTTTTCCCTCCCCATCCCCCTCTGTCTTCCCTCCCGCTCTGTACAATGGAGGAGAAGCCACTGGTCAATCCTTGTCAGCCGTTTTCCAGTGTCCACGCCCCCCCCCTGCAGTGGGGTTTTACATCTTTACATCTCTCAGTGAGGCAGCTCTGCTCCCCAGCCAGGCTGATTCTGCCCAGCCAAGGGGCTGGCATGGTCTGCCCCTCCACCCCAGGCAGGTCTCAGTGCCCACAGTGGCCTTGGCATGGAAGGGCAGGGCAGTGGGTTTGCTGGTCCACCACAGCTCTCTGGGTGAAGGGAACCCCCTGGCCCAGACCCACTGACATCTCTACATGCCCCTGCTGGGGCTGGGCATAGAGCAGCCAGGGCCCCCCAAAGGCAGGCCGATCACTTCCCTGTCTGGTGGGACGTTCCTGAAGGCCAGGTGGGTTGAGCCTGGTCCTCACAACATAGGGAGAATTACCTTGGCCAGGAGGGCCTGGGAGATGGAGCCCTGCAGGGCAAAGGGGCCACCCCTCACTCTGCCTCTGGAGCAGGGGGGACCTCTCAGCTGCTCACAAGAAGTGACCTCAAAGGGCTAAGGGCTGCCGGCATGGTGGAGCCACCAGACACACACAAGCTTGGCAGTGGGTGGCATCCCATCCTTGGCATGTCAGGTCTGTGGAAACCCCGCTGGTGCAAGGTTGTTGTTTGAGACCTTTCTCATTGGCTCCCGCAGGTTGTGGGCAAAGCAGCAGCGTCCTTCAGGCATCCATACAGCCTTTCTGGCCCCAGTATAGACATCTCCGTCAGCAGGCAAGGGCCAGGTGGGGGCAGTTGCCAGCCCTGGAAGAAGGGACTCATGGTGTTTGAGATTTGGGAAGCCACAAGCCAATCCAAATGGTCCCGGCAAGGAAGTCAGCCAGCAAGGAGCTTCTGAACACTGGTTTAGGGTGGGGTCTGTTCTCAGTCTCCCCTTGGCTGTTAATGAAACCCGGTGTCAACTGAGTAGTTTTGAGTTTTGACCTCAGTGTTCCCAGAAGGCTCCTGCCAGTGAGCAGTCTGGGCAGCTGAAGGGGATGCTGCCCTCCTTCCCTTCCCCTGCCCTGTCACTCTCCATGCCCGGTGCCACCTTCCTTCTGTAAGCCCACCCTCCGCCCCACACGGTGAGCTGGGGTCCCACGGGGACTTTGAAACATTGATGTTTATAGCTCTTGTTTCCATTGGAGTTGCTGTGTTGGGTTTAATTTCAGTCTTCCTGATTCTGCCCTCTGTAAAGTGTACATTATTACCAAGTTCCTTGTTTTTTATATATATATATATATAAATATATATATATACAAACTGAACTCTTCTTGCCTTTGTACATTCGGGCAAGGAGAGAGAATAAATCTTTTTAAGAGACAATCACACACAGGCGAGGGTGGCTTTTTCTTTGTCTGGTTTCCCTCCCCTTGGTCCCTTCCTCCTGCCAGGGCTGCTCTTTGCCAGGCCATCTTCAAGGGGCCCTGGGCATGGGTAATGCTGCTGTGGCTCATCACATCTCCCCTGCCCCACTTTGCTGACTGGAGCCAAGCAACTGAGCCCAAAAGCTGAGCTGCCCCAGTGGGGCCTTGCGCCTGCATGACTGTAGTCTTGACTGATCCCAGCACCCAACTGGCCTGTGCTAAGCAAATCTGCTGGGGGTTGGTCTCAGTGGGGAGCCCCATGGGGACCAGCCCGAGCCTCTTCTGTGTCAGGGAGGTGCCTCACTGATGGGTGAGAGTGAGGAGCCTACTCCCCCATGCAGTGCTGGGAGGTGGCTGTCCCAGCCCTCAGTGGCGCTGCATGAGTAGACATGCCTGGGCAATCCTCTAGGCATGGCTGCTGCCAGCCAGCATCAAGACAAGGACAGGGAATGGGAACCTGGGGTAAGCACCTGACTGCACAGGCTGCTTGGCTGGATTCCCCAGGGTTCTGCCTCCATCTCCCTCTGCACCCCCATTCCTTCTGGATGGTGCTGAGAACTGGGCTGGGGCTGACAGGCCTCTCTGGTCTCCCTCTATGCTGTGTCCCCAGGCATCAGCTGGGGCCCCTGGAGCTGAGGGGGGAGCTAGCTGGGCTGGGCAGTGCCCACTGCTCTGCTGGTGCCCCTGGCTGTTCCCTCCGGCTACAGGGACAGGGGCCTCCTTCCCCCATCCGCCCTCTCTCATCTCACGCAGGCAGCTGCCACCTCCCGGTAGATCTTAAGGTCTCCTGCACCACACAGCAGACTGAGAGGCATGGCTCCTGTAGGGCAGGGGTTATGCTATTATAAGGGTATTATAATATAATGCCATTATAAGGCCATGTCACTTGGCCA